TTCCCCAAACTGAGAAAGGCTGTACTTTACACTGCCACGCACACAATTCATGGCACAGAATCAAACAAACTTTTTCTATTTCTATCAAGTTAGCCAAACAGCCAGCTGAACCAAACACTTGCTTTATTTGGATACATCTGTAGTTATGATGAGTGTAATTAATTGTTCAGCTAAAAATGCAATTCCATGGTGCTTTTAATGATTTAGGTATACACAGCTTTAGTTCTCAGAGCAGACTAAAAATAGTGATTTTAATTTATTCCTGCTGCCTACAATTACCCACAACCATGTATTTTTAAATATTTCCAGCCTATAAAAATTACTAATTTTTGCCACTTGTGTTTATCTGCATTTCGACTTTGATTTGGATAAATTAAGCTCTCAAGTGCTCCTTGCTTTATGAAACTCTGCATGTTGTACACTCAACACAAATAAATGACTTGTACCATTAGAGGTTTAAATAATGTAATGTATTTCATGCTCAGCCTGAAGCTGGATTCCAATGAAGTTGCTAATGCACGTAATGATTAAGTGTAACTCAAATACTAACTGTGTTGTTGAAAACATGACAGGCAATAATTTGGTCTATTATATTCTGCCATTTAATTGCCGAGTACAGACATTCCCTGACACGTTATGAAGCAATGATTTACAATTATTCAAGCTGCAAAGGTCAGAAAGTGACATTATAATCATCTACATAGAGATCCCTTCTAATGCACAAAAACTAGGTAATGCCCCACACACACACACACACACACACACACACACACACAGAGAGTTTTGCTGCATTAGTAACTTTCTATTTAAGGTTCCTTAAACCAACTAAGAATAAACAGTTCATAAGCACATTAATACACAATAGGAAATGTCTAGAATCTTTGCAAGGATCTAAAGGTGGCAGATACTGGAAATGTTCTTAATCTCTCCTGACTGGGCAAATTCTATTCAAATATTTAAGCTCCATATGCAAGACTTAAGACTAGGCATGGAGCTATCACTCCGAAAATTACATAATCCCTAAATCTTTATCTGAATACCTAAGTCTCTGTGAATAAAGGTTCACAGAACACTAGGTATCATTTCCTAGGTTTGCTAAGATCACAGGCTGTTTACTAACTGTCCACCTTTTTAATAGGAACCAACACTGAAAAACAAAAGTTCAACCCAAACCTGAAGTGACCCCTCTCACCCCAATGAAAAGACAATAAAATCTTTACTTTTTTAGGCATATATTCTTTCTACTATAACATGTTCAATAATTTATCAACACTTGAGTAGGGAAAAATACTGCAATTACTTCGCGCAATACTTGAACATGACAAAGTGAAAGCGATACCGAAAATAAAGACATCGAATACCAGAATTTTAAAGTAAAACTCTGAGCAAGCAATTTTGCTGAGAGCACCTAAGTCGAAGCAAAAGCAGAGAACAGGCATGGCTGGGCGGGAAGGAGGTGGCCTGCAGTCAGCACACACCAGCACAAACATCCCAGCAGGAGAAACAAGCACGATTCAAGGCGGTAACCAGAACAACGGACACTACAAACAGCAGAAAAATAAAGAAAAGCGACAGTGAAAGGGAAAGAAAACAGTGGCCAGCCGGTGCGGCGGCTGGCTCACTTGGAAGTGCATCACTAAATACTTTTTAGTCTCCAGCTCACCAGCTGTACAAAAGGGATGATAAACACGCGGTAAGCCACCTCACAAAAATTTAGAAATCAATGATGAGATGGAGGTTAATTAAGTATACACTGAACCACAGCACTACAGAAATGCTACTATTGGAAGTCTTGTATTTACTACTATGTCTACGTCTACACAGAGAATTAAAGGGACTAAAGGAAGTTAACAAAGCATGGAATCTATAATGACCTTTTTAAGGTACTGAAACTTACAAGTTCTTGCTCAGCAAAAAAAATTAAAATCTCATACATTGAGCGACACTGTGTCTGAGCTAGTCCTAAACATGTCCCCTAGAATCACCACCTTCCGCACAAGGGGCGGCAGTGGTCTCTGCTTCTCCCCACGAAGCCCTGGCGGGTCCACAGTGCCACGCACTCTATAAACACACCGATAACGCTACAGAATTCCACTCTGATCACGCTCAGGTGTAAGAAAGACTGCTAAGAAACTGCACTGTTCAAAGACTGCTCCTCTCGAAAGTGAAAGTAAAACAACAGGGAATCTTGGTAACGTGGTCCTCGAAGAGCCACACTCTCCCCAGCTGGCCCCGACAGGAGCAGGAAGCTGGGCCCACAAAGCCCACGCCCGGGGTCTGCAGCCTGGCCACCGGAGCTGGGCTCGGAACACTCTCGGCGGACTCGCACGATGACACCCGACACAGGAGTACCGCTGAGGGGGAGCCCGGACCTCAGCCCCGAACGTCAAGATCAAAGGACATCAGCACACGCTGAAATCAAAGTTCAAAGACAGTTGCTTCAGCTCCGTCTCCGTAGGGAAGCCCATTGATGGGTATCTATGACCACTTATGTGAAGAAACCAGTCGATGACATATGATCTAAAACATGAACACAGAACTCAGCTCACCAAAACAGTCTGTGGTTTTCGTTCATTGTATCATAAAAAGCCTCTTGGAGAAAACCAAGAAATTTCTAAGCAAAAAACACGTAACTTCCTAACAATTTCGTCTGCACACGTGCCTACTTCCACATTAATCAAAACTATTTAAGAAAGAGTTGATTGCTTCAAATCCAACAATTAAGAGCTTGTTAATAAAGTTCTAAAAGAAACTAAGACACTAACCACGACAGAAAGGAAAACACGGGCCTTCTGCTTGTGACAGGAGGGAGTTAACGCTCCTGAAAGATCACTCCACCTTTTAAAGCCTGATTTTTTTAAAAGGTAAAATTTATAGCAATTAAAGCTAATGAAGAAATGCAGCATGAGCTGCTTATATCCAGGAACTAATAGGCCCACTGAGCATTTCCGAGAGTATTTAGCCGCCCGTGATAATGAATCGACGTTGTCAGTGATGTAGCGGGCCAACTGGGGCGGGGGCTGCCTGCTTCCACTTTGATTTTTAATCTGGGCACTGCCCTGTCCCTGTGCAACGCATGAAATACAGAACACCTAGGACGCGTTTTCTCCAGCACTGACTCGTCAGTGCTCTGTTTCAAGCCCACAGATGGCTGTGCTTCCTTCAGCACATGGATTCCTCACAACTTCCAGCCTCTCCGTGCAACTGTCTGCCCTGTAAAATGACTCTGACTTTTTAATCAAATTTCATTTTGAAAACCAGAACTGTGATTTCACAGTCATTTAAAATTCAACGACTACTGTAACTGTAAAGATACAGTGTGGGTCTGGCAATCCATCACACTTTCTGAACACACACACCTCTATGACAGTCACATAAAGCTGAACCCATCCACACGTGTCTGTGACTCTGCAGTCTGGGAATCAAACCTGTAAATCACGAACACCAGTACAGCAGTAAGTGGCAAACTGTATGTCAGCACTAAGTGTACATCAGTCAGATTATATAATGAAAGCCAATCGAGTATCTACTGGTTCTGTGCTACATGTTAGAAATTGTGCGCTTGAAAAAAATTTCTTCTTTTCTTTCCAGGATCTTAACCATCCTAGGAAAAGTGAATGGAATTAGATTTCTAGCGTCAGAATATGAAACTGTTTACTTGTTTTGCAGAAACGAGGAGGAAACTGCTTCTGTCACTTTAACAGCAAATTTTCACTAACGCAGGCCCTTCCTCTCTCCTACTAATAATACTCTTGCGGTAAAAACAACAAATGAGACATCTTTTAAGATCGCAAGACCTAGCACAATTAAAATGAGCCACTTGGCATTCGCCCTCTGCAGCTAAAAGTCAGAAGCAACAAAACTCATTCTCCCTCTGATCTTCAGGGGCTGTAGGGCAAAGGTCCATCTTCATTTACTTCAGCCGCAAGTCACTGAACCGTCAGTTCTGCCGCCGAGCGAATCACTGGCCGTGGTTAATCAGCCTGCTCGCAAAGTTATCTGCAAAACTCTCTGCGGTCAGAAACTGCAACTGCACCCTGGGATGAAACACACTGTCCCCCAAGAAACAGAAGCTGTTAGACCCCGAAGGTACTGCACGACAGCGCCGGCCGCTGAAAGAGACCGCCGGGGCCGTCTGCGCGCCGCGCCCATGGTCTGTGAGTGGCCACAAACGCAGGTCCCGAGGTTCACATAGGAGCTAGTAGGGCGCACTTATCAGCCGATGTCTCCAGCAGAGGGAGGGGCACGAAAATACATTTTTAATCAGGAGTAGGGCATTACAACCCAGCTCTAAATGCCCTGTGACGCACCACAGATGTCATGGCATTTGAAAACCTTTTAAACATTTTTGGTAAATGAATTAATTTTGCATTAAAGCATCTCAGCGCTTCCTACTAAACGCAACACAGTGAGTGGCCATTACACATCGCCGGTGATGCTTTGGGGGGAAGAATCATTAACTAAAGAAAGGAAAACAAGCTCCAAAGTAAAGTCCCAGGGAAACACACACGACGCGCTGCTTTGCAAGCTTCATCCCGCACTAGTCGGTAACCAGCTGTCTGAATTAAATCGCTACCTGTTTCTTTCCTTACGAACAAGCCCGGTGGATCAAAGAGCCATTAATGCGATTAAGATGAAAGCAGGATGGCAAAAGAAAAAATACATGTACATTTCTAAAGCTATATTATGTATTTTTTATGCCTTTAAATGGAATTTACAGTTCTCTCTGGCAATGTGAATGAACATCCTATAATTTAGTCAATTTACAGATTACAGGTTCAAATTGACCTTGGAGCCCATAAAATTGCTCATCTGCAGTACAGGATTAGGAGGAGGAGAAGAATGTCATAACTGCGGTAAGGAATTTACCCTAACAATGGAAAGGAGGACGCGCGCGCACGTTCAGCCACTCCGACTCAGCCCGCGGTGGTGTGGCGCCCGGACAGCGGCTCTCCTGCACATGCTCCAGGCGCCCAGGCAGCGCCCGCTGCTTTACTCACCCACAGACGTGACACTTGTACTCCCTCATCCCAAGGTGCCTTTTGACATGGTTTCTGGCATCGCCAAGCTGAGCTGTTGCAAAATGGCATATCTTGCACTTGAATGGTTTTGATCCTAAGTAAATTTAACACAAAATATAAAGCAAATTTGAATAATACATTCCTGACAATTTTTTTAAAAAGGCCTAAGTCTTAAACCATACTAGTAATATAAGTACAAATTTCTGCCCCCAAAATAGAATACCTGCATTCCTTTCCACCTTAACAGGCCTGCATTCCCTGATTATTCCACCAGGTAGACTTTAACGCTGCAGTGAGTGTTCCTAACTTTCACTAACATTCCTGCAGTTAAAACCACAAGTGATGTCACTGAGTAACACAAAGTTCATGAGATGAGCTAAATAATTTTTAATATTTCCCTTAAAATTCACAATCTCAAGTCTTTTAGCATTTAAAATGGGACCTTTTTTTAAGCAAATGCATACACAGTAGCTGATGTTTTTAAGTGTGAATTATCCTCACCTTCGCACTTCCTCCGTTCTGTCCTCGGAGTCTACTCACATTAACTGTGGTAGCTCAGATTTTTTTTGTCATTTATCCCACATGATTCCCTCTAGAGCTATTTTACCAGCATGCCATGTGTGAATGCAGTAGAAAGATCAGGAAGCTTTTATGACCACTTCGTAGCCAGAAGTGTGTGATGACTGCAAACCGGAAGTACTGACATTTGGTTGTCACTGATTTCAAGAACAAATGATTTCACACAAGAAGCAAAGGAACAGCCAAAACGCTAATCTCAAAACTGAGGAACTCATTTCAGAGTGGACACTCCTAAGCCATCAGGCTGTAGCCAGAGTGCAGTGACCGACAGACCAGCGGCGCTGTCCTGTGCCCATGCTCCTAGGAAGCAACACAAGCTCATCCTTGCCCAATTCTCTGACCACAAAACACTTCAGGTAAGTAAACCAAAATCATAAAATACACCAGAAAATCATGTCATATTCAGTACCTTCTGGTGAAGTATCTCCTCTGAAATCATCAGACAGCATGTGAAATATGTGAACTTTAATAAATATACAAAAAGCTCAAACTTAAAATTTGCACTAAATCTTACTTATCAGTGAACCTCTGTGCCTTGCCCTTGGGGAAAGAAATCCTCCAAGAATACTATGTGAAATTGAAGCCCTCCGTAAAAAATTTCATAGTCTTAAATTTCAATATAATTCCCAAAAGCTGACAAAAAAAGTGAAGCATTTAATTCTAATCTTCCAACAGAAATAAAAAAGTCAACAGAACTAAGCACGGGCAGACAAGGTTGAATATTTCACAGTTCAATGACAATGAAGCCAGATCTCTTAATACTTCCATTTCTACTGGCACAAGTAGATGTAAAATATACTTAGCACCTGAATGGTTCTATGTAGTCAGCTTTATATGTTTAAATGTCAAGAGCAGGTTGAGACTGCAGCTTACAGCAATCCCATTCTATCAATCACATTAGAAACTACAGTTTACCTAAATGATTCTGATAAAACTGAGTCTAGCGCTACGTGGAAACATTTCATCTCACCATGGAACTCTCTGCAGTGACTTGCGAAAGAAAACTGTGAACAGGACCGATGCACCTGTACCTTAGATTAAAGTGCACGGCAGGTAATAAGGATAAAGCGGGACATCAGTAGTTCAGTCGCCTCAGGCTCCACAGCCAAGGTGAAGCCCTCCAACCCGGGTGGGTCTGTAGGAAGGCGCTACTGGAGGTGGGCCCCGCTGCGCCCCCACAGGGAACCCCGCCTCCTGGGGCCGAGCCTTTGCCAGTTCACTTTAGCGCGCAGCTCCTTGGTGGAAACTCTGGCAGCTTCAGGTTTCAGGGGCCACTGCTGCGGCGCGCTGGCACCGCACGAGGGGGCATTTCGTGGCGTGTTCACACAGAAGCCACAGGGGCCCTGACCGTGTTGGCGTCGACCACCGAGGGACTGTATTAACATCTCCCTTCAGTGGCACAAGAACCTGAATACTAGGGGACTGGCGGGAATCCTTTCCTGTGTAAGAAGAAATCCCCTTTCACCTAACTGCCAACGTTTCCACTTTTAATCCTGCCGATGCACACACCAAGATGAATACATGTGCGTGAGGCGGACTCCATAAAACCGCGTGCTTCTAAGTCTGTGTCCCCCGCACATGATAATCACAGTAAGCCTGCAGCCTCGTTTTAAGCAGCTGCGGTCCTTGGGACAGGAGTAGCCTCAGTACGGCCATTTCGGGGCCCGTGAGGTTTCCCGAAAGGGGTGACCGACGAGGCTCCGCAGCCTGGCGCCTCAGCCGGGGCCTGCGGGTGTGGGCCCGGCTGCCTTCCCTCACAGCTAAGCAAACCTGGCCGCGGCACTGACTGAAGTCATGATCTAGGCCTTACAGGAGCCCAGCAATAGGCCTGTAACGCATCACCTAACGCCTCTCACTGCAGCTCCGTTCTATAATCCCCTAACCACAGAACACTTGATCTGCTCATTCATCTAATCACTCACTCAATAAAGAACACTGAGGGGCAGCAATCTGAGGGTGTGGAGACCGAGCTGTGAGAAGGGGGCCCCCTGCCATCACTGCGCTCCCAGCATGCCCATCCAGCTTCGAAAGCTCTCGTCTATGTCACCTCACTGCCAGCCTGCCGCGGAGACAGCCCCTGAGGTCACACACCCTCACCTCCCCACACAGGAACAGCCCCAAAGAGCAGAGCAACCGGGGCGTGTGGACACAAAGCAAGCGCATCAGGCGGGCCTCTGGCCTCCCCGCCTCTCCAGTGGCAGGCGAAACTGAAGCTTTCACAGAGGAACGTTGGGGGGACCACGTAAGTTTGGGGGGCTTGCAAGACAGGGGAAGCAGCACCCTCGCCTGGTCACACTGGCGGCTTCACACCAGTGAGCACTCAGGGGAGCCGGGTGCTTCTGCACTGCAATTCTTGATAACCAAACACATTCATTTCTTACAGTGCTGGTTTTATGGTGCTAAGGATGGGAGAAAAGGTTACGTAAAACATACAGTAAATCACAAAATATGGAAACAGGGATTGGAAGAGTGAGCCCTTTCCAGTTAGCCATTAATAGCCGTCTGCTAGCAGGGACAGAAACAAAGTATCCGAAAAGCAATTTATTTGAAGGTGCCCCAAGAAAAAAACCTTGGACTGAAAACCTTAACAGCAACTTGTCCCCCAAAATGACTTGCAAATTGAAATGGTTGCCTGGCGTGTGTACTCAGGAGGCTTCTGGTGCCTCAGAATGCAATAAAAATGTACTCGCTGATAAGCCGGGCACAAGATGTTAAAAGTATGCTAACTTTTACTAAATGTTACAATCAATGATGTAACTAATAGAAGCAGGGTTACTCTGTCACATACTGATAGTTACCTCACTTTCACATCCACATTAACTTGATTTTAAATGCAATTAATACATATAGTCAAGGAAGACTAATGGACTACATTCCGCACTTAACCTGGTGGACATTTTCAAATGGCACCAGTGACCAGTGCAAACCTATTTTGCATTGTAAACGACTAAATAAATCTTAATGGATTAAGAATGATCAGCTATCAACACACAAGGGAAATTAAGTGCTGAAATGCCTACATTGATTATTTTAAATTATTAGCCTTACTCTGTTCTTGAATTTGTATGCTTTTAGTGAGCTTTAACACATTTACAAGACTTATTGACTATAATTACAAGAGAATTCAAGTAATGGACACATCAATTATAAGCAACACGTCTTGACCAGACAGTTGCATAAAGAATTCTTAAAAGAGCTCCATTAGCATCTTCCCTTGGCTTTATTCAGTTTCATCTGCCGTAAGAAGGCCACAAGACAGTGCGCACTTTCTGCACACGTGGGCAAGCCTGACTTCTAAACTACGCCGTCTCCAAAAGTCAGCTGCCACCCAGCACCGGAGGAGTCAGTAACGTCCACAATACGCAACTGGGACTCGCGGCAAAACAATCCCATTTGTGGGAAGAGTCGGGATCAGGACACCAAGGGTCGCATCCGCTAGATGACTCTGAGGCAGGTCCCCACTGCTTTCCTCAGTGAAAAACTTTTTATCTATCTTTAATCACCCGAAACTATTAATAATGTTTCACACTCTTTTGTCTTCTTCCTTGTAACCATGCACTAAGTTTCAAAAACTGCATGAATTTAAAGTATAGCTTTAATAATAAGCCATTATTTAAAAGTACAGTAAAATAAACCTTACAGTTTTAATGAAAATATGTTCATTGAAATGTGAATTTATTATTCAAATCCACTCATAAATTCAACCATGGAGACAGAACTTGTCTAAGCAGTGCACAGTGATTTAGAAAAGCTGTCTATTTAAAATAAAGAATGTATGGCAGGTTTATAGAAACAGTGCAGTGAATTTTTACATAAATTTAGAACAGTGGCTTATGCATTTTCCACAAAAAAAGCTTGGTCTTTTTTTTTTTTTCCTACCTAAAATTATGGAGTAAAGTGGACCCTCCCCGGGCACCGAAGCCACTCTGGGTGCAGCCCCGGGAGAGCCCACCACCAGCTCAGTGACTTCCCGGTGCCAACCTGCTGTTTTGATTTTCAAGAGTAGACTCTTACTACCTGAAAGTAACACTTTGGGCTTAAACTGTCTGGCAGCGAGTGTCCTTCAGCCTCTCAAATTGTTTTAAAAAACATCGTTCCATTCTCCAAAACCACTGCATGTCCTCTGGCACGCAAGGCGCCCCTTCACAGACCTCAGCACCCGGAGGCAACGGAGCCCTGTGAGAGGGGACCGCGCGCAGGCACCCGGGAGACAGGCCTGCTGATAAAAGTACAAGAAATTCATCAAAAACTATGCGTAGGGCTCGCTAAGGCTCAGGGCCCCTGACCCCGCGGGCGACCGCCGGCCCCACACAGAGGCGCCAGGGAGCGGAAGGCCGCGGCCCGACGTGGGGGGGACACGCGCCGCCCGCCCCGGCCTGCTGCGCCCACCTACCTGTGTGCGTGCGGATGTGCGCCAGGAAGGCCATGGAGTTGCTGCTGCGGCACACCTTCCCGCAGTGCCTGCACACGTTGCCCTGGTTCTCCTCCCGCTCGCGGTTGATCTGCTCGGTGTCCTCCACGATGTACTTGTTGACCTCCCGCAGCAGCTCCTCGTGCTGCCCCTTGATGTGCAGGAACAGGCTCTGCTCCGAGTCGAAGGGCTCCGTGCACTTGACGCACTTGAAGGTGGCGCCCCCCTCGGGCAGCTCCTCCACGCTGGCCTGCTCGTTGCGCAGGTGGCCGGCGCTAGCCAGGTGCTGGTGCAGGTTGCTCTCGGTGTAGAAGGACTTCCCGCAGAGCAGGCAGTGGAAGTGCTTCTCTTTGGTCGGGTGCTTCATGGCGATGTGGACGTTCAGCCCGCTCAGGCCGTCTGCCAAGAAGCCGCAGTCATCGCAACGAATTCGCGGGGACTCGCCCAAGGAGGCCCCTTCAGATTTCTTCCTCTTCGCGCCCTGAGCTGAGTCTTTCCCGGGCAGCTCACTACCCCTCAGCCCTGTTCCGAGACCCTCTTCAGAAAGCTCCACCAGCTCACCGTCTTCAGGGCTCTTTATTCTTACTATGGACGAATCAAAACGGCCACAGCTGTACACGGCCTGGCCTTTATCATCAATACTGATTATCGTCTCGTACACGTCACTACTCTCCACTGCGCCCTCAGAAGCTGGGCCCTCCTCCTCCAAAGTGAACCTGGCTTCGTGCTGTGAGTGCACGAGAACGGCCTTGTTTTCCAGAGCGGAATCGGCTCGCATGCTTCTCAAGCCCCCTGAAGCCTGCGGACTTCCGCCTCTGCTCTGGCCGGTGGCCTCCAGGTCTTCCCGGGCGCCCGTCACTCTCATGGCCGCCGGGAAGGCGCTTTCGGCTGGAAGCTCTCCGTCTGGAGCCCCGGGACAGACGTGCGTGCTGCAGACCACCTCCCCGCTGCCGCCCCGATTGCTCTCGCCACGCAGATCGCCGGGGCCACTCAGCATCACGGCGGGGGTGGTTCTTTTCTCATAACTTGAAGCTGAGGTTCCTGAATTTTCATTTTGGACTTTGCTCGGGGAGCCACAATTAGAGGCAACGCTGAGGGGCACCATCTCCTCAGGGTGGATCGCTGTCTCCTTGACGAGGGGCTGCTGCAAAGTCTCACAGAGGGGGCGGTCGTCGCCGAGGTTAGACTCTTCCTCGGCCTCCCCCTCTGCAGACTCAGCAGCACAGAGCGCTCGGGCCCCGTCTAAGCTGGTGGGCTCCCCCGGCGCGGGACCGTCGGCAGGCCCGGCTGCCAGAGTCTCCGGGGGAGGGTCTGAAGTCATGTGAAGCTCCTCACAGCTCTGTGGCTGCCGCTCTTCGGGCACGATGACGCCCCCACACGCTCCTGCAGGGCCGGCTTCGACGCCGGCCGAGAGCAGGTGAGACTGCCTCTTGGCCTTGTGCCTCTCCGTGGCCGCGTGCCGGGTCATCTCGCGCGGGGTCACGGCGTAGTACTCGCAGGCCATGCAGTAGAAGGCGAACTCCCTGGTGTGTCTGCGCTTCACGTGCAGCTCCAGGGACGCCGCCGACTGGGCGCTGAAGTCGCAGCGCGCACACCTGTTGTCGCCCGCGCACACAGCGTCCCTCTGCGCGCAGGCGCCCTCCTGCGGGGCCAGGTCCTCCGGCTCCATTCGCGCTTGGCGCCTCCTGGCAATAACCTGGCCGTCAGCGTCCCCGTCGGTGGCAGGAAGGGCGGCCTCCAGCTCGACCTCCGCCGGGGGCCCGTCTTCTGCCGCTGGCTTTGCGGACGAGGCACCATCCGGGTCAGCGGGCTCGTGCGAAGGGCTCCCTGCTGAGCTGGCGTTTCTCCTACCGGCTTCCAGGTCGCCGCCTTCCGGGCCGACAACGATGTCTGCGCTCTGCCTGCCTTGGGCCTCGACCTCCACCCGACCTTTATGCTTCTTGGTGGCGCAGTGGCGTTCCATGTCCCCCTTGGTGACCGTGTAGTACTTACACACCTTGCACAAGTAGCTGTACTGGTGACTATGCTTCCGCCGGATGTGCACGGTCAAGTTGGTCGTGCTGGAGGCCAAGAGCCCACAGTGTGAGCACGTCCGAGATGTGCTGTTGCCCTTCGGCCTGCCTCTCTTCGGCATTGCGCCCAGAGCGGGCCCCTCGCCCCCGGCGCCCGCGGCCGGCTGAGACAGCTCGTGGGGGGTCAGCCTGTTCTCGATGCGGGGCTGCGCCTGGGCCTGCCCGCCTTCCAGGCGGCCCTCCAGCCTGCCGCCGCCGGGCGCGGCGAGCTCTTCTTTCTTGTCGCTCGCACCGATGCAGACCCTCTCGATGCATTCTTCGAAGCTTAAGCCGATGTTATTTTTCTTAGCGTTTTCAAGATGCTTGCTTCTCTTGATGTGTTTCTCCATGCCCTCTTTGCTCAGAGAATAAAGATTGCAAGCTTTACAGAGAAAGTGGTAGTCCTGACCGTGCCGAAGCTTGATGTGCCTGGTGAGGACCGTGGACGACCTCGTCTTGTAGAAACACTTCTTACACTGGAGCTGGGGCTTGTTCGCGTGCCGCGCCTCGCTGCCGAGGCCCGCCTCGGGCGGCCCGGGCTCTCCCTGCGCCGCGTGTCCCGACTCGTTCACGGAAAATTTCTTGCTCCCCAATTGTGAAGGGCCCAAAGGTAAAGTCTGAAAAACCAAATCGCTGTCCAGCGGCTGAGGGGACGGCGAGCGGCCCAGCACACGACGGGGCCTCTCGGCGGCCTCGCGCTCCTCTGCGCCCCCCTCAGACGCGAGGGGCGGGTCGCAGCGCGCGCACAGCAAGCCCAGGCCGTGCTTTTCCCCCACGTGCTCCGGCAGGCTGCGCTCGCTCGAGAGGGAGAGCGGACAGCACTGACAAGCCAGGCCAGAGGTAGTCTGCTGCTGCTGGTCATCGTGCGAATGCTCCTCGGAGGCCCTCCTGGACACGCTGGAAAGGCCGCACGTCTGGCAGGAGGACACCCCCTCCCGCGTGTGGCACTGTCTCACGTGGATTTCCAACCCCGGCCTACTTGCAGCGGGGAGGCCGCACTCTGCATCCGTCCACGACGTCTGGTGGTCCGAAGCTGGACTTGCGTTCAGAGAGTCCAAGGGGCACGGGCGGTGGGAGTCCCCTCCAGCCCGCTGTGGGTCCTGAGGGGCCAGGGGAGCCCCACATACACCGTGGACACTGGCACGCGCCCCGACGTGCCTGGGAGCTAACTGCGCATCAGCGGCTCTCGTCTGTGCTCTAAAGTGTTTCATGAACAGCCTCTGGGCTTCGTTGGTGCCTCTTTTACTAATTCCTAACAGGTTAAACCTTCTCTTTGCCTGACCTTTTAAGCTGAAAGTGGCACCCCGGCGCCGGAAGCTACTGCTCAGCATGACAACGTTCCGCTCGGGCCTGGGTTTCGAAGCGGGACCGGTTCTGTGCGCCGAGGGCGGGGTGTGTTTGGGAGACTGACCTAAGAGGCCCTCTGAGGTCACCGAAGGGCTCAGCTCCGTGTCCCGGCTCTCGGGGCTCCCGGCCACACCGCAGGGAGCCACATTTTCACCAGCCGCCTCCACCGTCTCCGAGAGAGGGCCCGTGGCGGGCGCCATGGCCACAAGGAGCGCGTTGCTGCTTCCCTTCCGCCTCAAGGTGCTTCCTCGGAAATCCTTGAGCCTGCTTCCAGCGTTCTGTGATCCTCTGGATACACTGTTCCTGGCTACTGGCTTAGCTCCTGGTCTTGCAGGGACACTTCTGGGCCCCAGGGCACATGGTTTTTGAGGAGAAGGCTGTTTGGTCAGGATCCGCACAAAGCCTCCACGGGCCGCGAGGTTCTGACGGCGGAGATGCGTTTTCCCGAGACGGTGTGCGTCCAGAAGGCTTTCTTCCGGACACTGAAAGCCACAGAGGTCACAGGAAAAGGCCTGCTGTGCCCGCAGCCCCGGCACGGCACTGCCCCCCGCCTCAGGGTCGCACTTGGGGCTCACGTGTCCCCCCGCCTGCTGCGCCCCACAGTCTCCTTGCGTCTCCAGACTGGCACCGGAAGGAGACAGATGCTCACACGGGCGGCACCTGAGAGCCACGTCCGAGTCTCCAGGAGCGCACGTGACGCTCATCTCCTGCGGGGACGGAGAGGGCCCCTCCGGGGCGAGGGACCCCCCTTCCTGAGCAGGCTTTTCTTCGGGACCTGTGCTCATGGCAGCAGCGTCAGCAGTGCCAGAGCTGCCCGCGGGGCAGAGGGCCTGGGGGGGGCTGGGGCCGCCCACCGAGCTGTCGCCCTGGGAGTCCGCCCACACTGCCCCGCCTCTACCCGAGCTTTTGGGGGTCTCTGTCCCAAGTGCCCCCTGCTCTCCAGACTGCGGGGACACGGCCTCGGCCAACTTCACACGCTTGGCAGCGCACGCAGGCCCCTCTTCCTCCAGGACAGCACCGTCCACACGTGACGACTCCGAGAAGCCCCTTTTGATGGTGGAGTGCTCGGCGGCCCCCGCGGGAGGGGCCCCCCCATCTGCGTCTCTCGGCGCAGCGGTTCCCACCGCCACGGCCTCTCTGGCGGCTTCGCCGTCCTCATCGCTCCCAGGTTTCTTCGCCACCTCCATCACCGTCCAGGGCGGCTGGCGTCCCTGGTGCCAGGCGTGGCCCACAGGCCCACAGGCTCCCCTAGTCTGCGAAGAAAACACACAGATGAAGCCACCGAGCATCAAGAAGACACACCGCGCGCCCACAGGCCCCCAAGTGACACTGGACGGAAGACGGCGTGAAAGTAGCCTCCAAGGGATTTTCTCTGCATCCGGATGGGACTGATAACATGGCGCGGCTCTCACCAGAGTGAGAGACGGCGTCCTCGGAAGCCAAGCCGTGGCATCTCCGGTCGAGAAAGCCACGCGCCGTGCCAGCTTGCCAGGGAGGCCCACACCGCCCCCCAGCGGTGCGTGTCCACACTAGTTTTTAAGCAGAGAAGCCCTGCTTTCAAGCCGTGTTCGCAGGCTCCTGTGCTGTAAGAGACTCGAGGAAAGCGCTGTGGTGGCCTCAGGAGTCCCGCCCGCCCTCGCTGCCCAGCAGTCCCCGTCCTGGTGCAGAGACACTGAGAAACAGTGACGCTGGCCCCTCAGAGCCAAGCACCTTCCTCGGGGTTCCTGAGCTGGCCCTAGCCACTTGCATACTGCCATCATCCACCAGCACTCCCGCTCAACCTCTCTGGCCAATGAAAAGTCACGCCTGCCCCCTGTCCATCACCAATTTCTGCATTTAACAGTCATTTCTGGTGTCTGAAGATCAATGGCACATGGAGATGTCAGTGGCAGAGGACAAACAAAGAAGAAAGTTTTTCGGGGAAAATGATTTTATTGAATAAAATGATTTAAAATCAATAAATATTGATTATATTTTTCATTATGCTATTTAATTCAATTAGAACATATCACTTTCCACTTACTTCATACATGATTGGAATTTTCAGCCAAGTGCATTCTGGTTTGATGCTCATAAAAACCCATCACGGTTGTCCCACAGCTAATGACAACTCTTTTTAACTGTGTTTTCCATCACAATGGTAAATCAAATGAAGCGCATGGCTTTGGCTGCTAAAAGTAGAACCCAAACACGAACACAGACTCACACACACACTCACACTCACACTGATGGCTTAAAAGCCAAAAACCCGGACAGCAGGTGAACTGCTCAGACTTGAAATTTCACATCACGGGGTGCTATGCAGTGCAAGGGGCGAAACGACAACCCGCTGCGTGACAAACACTTGTGACTCGCATCTGATAGAGGAATTAATCCAGAACAAATCAAGGACTCACGGAGTTCACCGATAAACGCCAACTACAGCGCAGGGCAGCAGTGTGCATCTCTGCGCCACGGCACAGCCCTCCGGAGCGCAGCGTGGGAGGGAGGCACCCACTCAGGGCGAGACGCACCGCGCGGGGCCCTGGCGGGCGCAGGGGCAGTGACCGCACTGCTGAGGGCGCCCAGGGCTCAGGCGCCTGCACGCCTCAGTGGGAGCGGCGAGGTGCTGCTGCGCCCGAGCCGCCTGGTGGCGCTCACGCAGGCAGGCTCGTGGCCAGGGGCCTCTGGGTACCCACGCAGAGCAGGACGCAGCCGCCTCGCCAAGACCGACGCGGGCAGGTGCATGCAGGCGAGTCGCAGGCTCCGCACGCCAGCGTTAGCCCACAGAAGGCACAAGCAAGGCACAGTGTCCACATGAAGAGACCTCTGAACACAGCAAGCAGGATGGTGCTCCCTCGGGGTCGAGTGAGGGCAGGCAGGGTGCTGACGACTTAAGGGCGTGGCTGGCTTTCTTTTCTGAAGGACTAAAATGTTAAAATTTACCACGGTGGTGGTCCCGCTACCTGCGATCAGACTTAAAGCCATTAAACGGTAATTTAAATGGGTAAAGTGTATGTAGGTCACTATCTCAATAATGCTGCTTGAAAATCTATAAATTATCGTAAAGACCTCTAATTTCTAAAATCTGAAAAAGCTGAATATGCATAGTTATTTACACCATAAGGTGTTCAACACTGCCTTCATTGCCAGTTCTTCACAATATGTCCTAAAAAGCAAACATTATCCGTGCGGCTGGCAGGTGTGAGGGAGCAAAGCTAGCCCTCATCATCACTTCCCTGGTGTGAGCCGCGTGTCTGCCACAAGGCCTCCTGCCGCGTGTGCACTGGCCAGACAAACGGCCTGAGAGCACGTGCACAGGAGCCGGAGGATGGGGCACCACACGCACGTGGGCAACGCCCTTGCAGCTGAGGCAGTGGTTTCGCCTCAGGGCTTGTGGTGGGCGACTCGGGAGGCGCGAAGGGCGAGCCCGCAGCTGACCAATCTTCCCCTGCGACCACGAGGCGCCAGGCAGCCCCGGTGGCACTACAGCCCAAGCACGACACCAGCCCCGCGCCCTAGGCTTCCTCAGGAGCTGGATCGTCCACACGAGGCCATCCACTCTGGCAAGGTGAGACACAGGCCAGGATTCATTCTCGTGCATGCCACAGCTCGAAAAAGAAAAAGACTGAAGTCCACGCAACGCAGCACAGCACAAGGGGCATCAGGCCCGGGGCAGCGCTCCCTGAGGCAGTGCGGCGGGCGAGGCCCAGCTCGCCATCTGGAGGGCGGAGGGAGGCAGAGCCCGGGAGCCCAGGCAGCGGAGCTCAGGGCGTGCAGAGGCGAGTGCCGGGGCGGCCTGCCACGAGTCCTTACCCAAACAGAAGGCAGGCTCCTTCCCCACGGGGCTCCGCGCAGTCACTCGCCCCAGCCACCGCGACGCTTCCCAGGAGGTAGGTTCAGCCTTTCCAGACCTTCACAGAAAGGGAAACGCACCCGCAGCTGCGGCCGCGGCCCGGCTCCCCGGCTCGGCACAGTGGCAGCCGGCCAGGGGGCTCCCTCCCAGCGGTCTGCGCTGTGGCACCACCGTGGCCACGGCCTCCCACTCCCGTGGCCATCATCCACGTCTCCCCTAAAGACAGACTTTCGCTGCCTCGGTGTAGACACCCAGGAGCGGCACTGCAGGCTCACGGCGGCTCCTTCCTTCGGGACAAGGCGCAGGCCTGGGGCGCCGCAGAGGGCGCGCCTGGGTCCCCGCCTCAGTGCCTGCAGCCAGTGCCGGCTGCCTGAGAACAGCCGTGGGCGCTCCTAGCGAACCGCAGGCGTGGGTGGTGTTTCCTAGGTGCAAAGTCTTGCCAGAATCTCCGTTTCACAAGGGTCTTCTCTAGGTTCATTTTACTATGTCTTTTGATAAGCAGTTTCAAACTTGGAGGAGAGCGGCTTCGTGCCTGTCTGTGCTCAGTCTCCCCAGCTAGCATGGTCTTCCATCCGCCGGCAGCCTCGAACAGCCCCAGCACACAGCTGCGCCAGATGCTGCGCACCGCGTCGGGGTAAGAAGGTCCCCTCCCTGAGGATCTGGGGCGGCGGCAAACTGCCCCCAGCTTCCCAACAGTCTCCGAGGCGCGGCTGCAGGCGGCACAGCGCCCTCAGCTCTGGGCTGCAGAGTGTGAGTGAGGCAGTGTGAGGGGCCCGAGCACAAGTTATGCGTTACGGCGGAAGGCAGGCCGCAGAGGTGCGTTCTCTAAGACGCCGCGTCCAGCCGCCTCTTCCTCCCCAGCGTCTTGGTGGCCCCGGCGGCTCCGCAAGGCCGGACCAGGCCCTGGCACCAGGGGGACACAGAGCTGATCTGGGAGACCACGTGTGTAAGTCACAGCACATTTGTTTAGAGTAAACGGCATGGGCGTTGACTCAGACTATGGCGAGGCTGAAGAATGCCAACTGCGTCACGTAGCGGAGCAAGGCGACCACCTATATAGCGGCCCCAGAAGCCGAGACAGAGAAGACGTTTCCCCGCTGGTGCTTGGATTAGTGGATAATGCAGTCTCTGAGTGAGTCCGGAAACACGCCTAAGAAGCTCGCATCACGCATCTGAGGGACTCTGAGGATGCCACGCTCCTCGCTGCCCCAGGCGCGTGCCCACGGCAGCCACAACACGCAGCAGTGGCACGGAGTGCACGCGAGGCCACGTGACCACACGTGACGTGCACTAAGACCCGGCACCAGGTGAGAGAGGAACCGCGCCTCCACAGACAGCGCTGGCTCCGAAGACAAGATCACCACGGCAGACTTGAGGACCAGAACTTTCTCTGGCTGCGGGAGCGGGCAGGAACAGTCAGGCACTTCAATCTGAACAACGGCCCAGGCCGCGCGCACAGGGGAGCTGGCCAGGTGTCGGCTCCCGCCTGGGCCCCGCCACCGTGACGCTCCCGCAGGCAGGAGGTGGCCAGGGCCCACCAGCCCGGCAGCGGGAAGCCCGCGAACCACCCGCCGGGAGGACGGCTCTGCAGTGGGGAAGACGAGCGCAGGTCGGCAGGCGCAGCGACCGTGTGTCCCATGGGTGACGCCGCTGGGGCCCAGGCCCGGGGTGGCCGCAGCAGGCCGCAGCGAGGCGGTGCAGTGCACGGCAGGACGGGCTGGAGGCGCTGCTCGGAGCTGTGGGCGTTTGCCCCGGCGTTAGTGAAGGCAAGGGTGGGGGGTGTCAGGGCAGACTGTTGGCGACGAAGATGTCTTCTTCAAGCAGAATTTGAAAATCTCTCTGGGCAGTCAGAGGCAGTCCGCATCCTCCTCTCAGCAAGCGCCGGATTCCGCGGAAACAAAGCGCAGGACAGAGCAGGCAGCGGCCCCGCCCGCCCAGAGCGGCAGCCCCCCCGGGACACGGGCCTATCCGAGTCTCGGATCCTGCTCACAGCGAGGCTGCAAACGCCACCAGCCCCGGGACTCGCGCTAAGGCAGTGTGGCGTCCCGAAGCCGCGTCTTCTCGATCGTGAACTCTCCGGGACAGCTGCAGCCCCGCGCAGCCCTCCCGGGCCACGGGGCCCATCTGCAGCCCCACCTCCGGTACCTCCTCGCGCCCAAGTGCTCAAGTACTTGTCCACTGATTAAAAACACACACACACACAAATCACTTTACCTTCCATTTTACCTACAAAAATGAGCTCGCCAAGAAACTCCCCCCAAGGCCCCTGCTCTAGTTAAAATTCTCTCTGCTGTGATTTAAAAAGAAAAGTTTCAAGAAAGAATCACACTCTCATATCCACTTTAGAACAGTAATAAAACAATCAGTGCAGCCTTCTGATGACACCTGCTGGCCACTTCTCACAGAAGCTTCTCCCGCATTCTGAGTCATCGCTACAATGATCACAGAAACCTAACTATGCCACTCGTGCCCCGCGCCACCTTGACACGGCGGCAAGTGTGGTTCGCTCATCTTCCCCTCCGGCTCATCCTGTCCTCACCCGCTGCCCCGTGGTCTGCACGTCCCGGCTTCCTCGTGACAGGCACCGCACCAGGGCCACGCTGTGGCCGGCCACGGGCTGCCCCACGCACAGGGACCTCCAATAGCGCCGCGGGCTCTGCCCTCTCTCAGGCAGTGCTAACAGTGAGGAGTCGGGCGGCCGAGGCACCACGCGGCGCTCCCAGGCAGCGGGGCGGGGGGCTCCCTGTGCCGCCACAGGCCGCAGGGCAACAGCTCACTCCAGCGCTTTCTCAGCCCCCACTTTTGACGGGACTTTTCATTAGAAAGGTCTGGCTTATCACCACACGATTCCATAGTGTGAAAAGCTTCCCAAGCCCACACGTGATCTGCTGGGGAGCCCTCCGCGGCTGTCACAAACAACGCCAGGCCCGCGACGTGGGGCAGCCAAGGGGCTGGAGCTTCGCGGGACCCTGCTCTCTGGAGCTGACCCCCAGAGACGCCGCTGGAGCGGACCATAGCAGGGTCCTGACTCACACACAGAAACCACTTCGTTGTGGAAACGCTTAAAATTACAAACTGAACCACTTCTTCCATGACAAGAGGGCAACGACTTAACTCCCCAGGGCCATTCAACAGGTGACGCTGCGGCGACGTGAGTAAGCACGGGTGTAGCCGCTCCGGCTCTCTCCGGACCTGGCCACGCCGCCTCACTGCCTGACAACAGGCCGCAGGGCTCCCTGAGGGCCATGTCTGGAAGCCTGCACGTGTCGCTCCCACGAGGCGCTAGTGGGGCGCACACTCTGGCCCACCCTTCCAGGGTAGAGCTCACCCCCAGGACAGCTGGCCTAGTGGCCTGCCATGTGGTAAGGAGATCGCACCGCGAGGGTGCCCACTCTGCAGGCGAAGTCCTCACGGGCACCGAGTGGCTCCTGCAGAGCCCCTGGGGGCAGCTGGTACCCACTTTAGAGGACAGGCAGCCACCTGTGGAGAGCCGTGGGGTGAAGAGCTGAAGCTCCACAGGAACTGGGGGACCCGCTGACAGCATGCAGTGAGGCACATGGAGAGCGGCCCCGCGGCCCCGGGCAGCCTGCGGTGCCTACAGGCCAGCAGACCCAGCACAGGAGCCTCAGGTGCCCCGGAGCCGGGAGTGCCCGGGGAGCCCACGCCCACAGCCCGAACCCACAGAGACCAGGAAATGACAAAGGACACTGCGTTAAGCTCCTGTTTCGTCAGCAGGTCAGGCAGCAAGAGCAAACACACAATCCCCTCTCCTTGCAGCCCGCAAGGGTGACCAGGCTCATGCCCGGGCGCTGAGACCGCCTCCCGAGCACACCCCACCGGCAGGTGGGCCTGGTGGCGCGCTCGCATCTGAGCTCACTGAAGCGTTAGCGCTTGGACAACTCAGTGGGTCCTCGCCACTCCCCAAGTCATGTAGGAGGCCGCGTGCAGTGAAAACCTGAAACAGCAAAGCCAAGCGTTATTAGCGGGCGAGCTAGGGGAGAGAGGAGGGCGCCGGAGATTTTTATGTGGATGCACATGGAATTAAAGGAACCCTTAACACCTCCCCAAACGCTAAGCCCGGGGGAGATGACCCTTCACGCAGGCCGCAGGACCCCGGGCTCGGAGGCCACAGCCTACAGGGCTTCGTTCCCCAGCGTGACAAGGTGGCCCGGACAGCGAAGGCCTGAGCTTCAGGGCGTGGAGCCAGGCGCCACACCCACCTGTGATGGCCCAGCCCGGGCTGCCCATCCTAGGAGACGCGGGGCCTGACAGCGGGCGCCTAGGTAGGCGCCATCTCGCTCCCAGTCACCGCACACGCCATGGCTGAGGGATCTGAGGATGCCCTTCCCCAGCCTCGCTGAGCCCCGCAGGTTGCCACCCAGCACCCCCAAGTCTGAGGAGTGGGAGCAGGGGAGCTGGGCTGCAGGAAGCTCCCAGGTACAGCCTTCGACCCAAGCTGTGACCCCGAGGGGGAAGTTAGGGTGTGTGCTTGGCCAGAGGGCAGAGAGGCACAGTCACCAGAACCGAGCCATGCAGAGCCCGCCCGGGCGGCCATTACGCAGACCCCAAGCCCCCCGACCAGACACCCCACGCTGCCGGTGAGGAGGCATGTGTGCACACGCTCACACACGAGCGCACGCACACCCCCACACTCACGCTCACATGCACACATGAGCGCGCACACACGCATGCGCGCACACGCACACACGTGCCAGAGTGACCTCCACCAGCCCAGCCTTCCATGGCTACCTCTTTTTTTTTTTTTTTAAAGATTTATTTATTTGTGCATACAGAACTGGGGTACAGGCCAGTGGCTCAAGGGTGGTGAGAGGCTTCACCAGAGACAGAGCGGGGAGCAGAACAGGCAGATCGACGAAGCCCACTGCTGAGGGGAGCAGCGGGCGGGTCAGGAGAGGTCTGCCGCGCCATGTGGTTTTCTTCGGGGCAGGCGGGGATCGAACTCATGAGGAAGCGGCTCTAGATTCTCAGTGCTGTGCTTCAACCCGCTGCGGCACCAGGGAGGGCCCGTGGCTATCTCTTTTTTCAACTTCCTACACTGGAAGCATTATTTCCCAAACACCAGTGACAAAGTTAATTTTATGACAACCTTGAGTACCCATCGCCGTCAAAAAGGTTTTACACAAAGTGAAAATCTAAAACACCCCCACTCCAAGGGTATTTTCTGGATCAATTCTTTGTTGTTATCTCCACCTCACTGTTTTCTAAAGAAAGCTGTTATTGGTGCAGAAAAACAGGACAATAGGAAAGGAGCAAAGGTTGGATGAGTAAAGTAAAAAAAGGAAAGACCGATGCCACTGAAGAGCAGCACGCAGGCGGCCGGCGCCCCGCGCCTCCCGAAAAGGTAGCTTTACTACCGGCGGGACGGGTCACAACGGGGCAATCTCTTACGACCACAGGCATTATAATGAATTTTCTTTACAGCTACAGAGAAACGGGATATACCGTTTCACATCAAATACAACAGGCTGTATAAATTCTTCTGCCTATTTATTGTAAAATATAATTTCATCTATAAAATCCGTCATGAAATATTAAAACTGAAACAACAGAATTTATGCCCTTTACTTAATTCAGTTTAAACGGCTCGTCACTAGGAGAGGGGGTCACGGTGCTAGAGCCCCCTCCTCATTGCGCGCTTCCATTAGCCCTTGATTTTCAGGAATTTATCAATGGCCAGAAAGGCAGCATCCGCGATAGAAGTTAGTGTACTCTCCTGAAATTTCCCTCCACCTCTTCCCAAAAGGCCCAGAGAGCGGAGCACATCACATCGGAGTGCCAGGAAGGGGATGAGGAGAGCAGGGCGAAACACACCTGCGCAGGTCGCAGGACACAGCCGGCCGCTCCTCCGGCCGCGGCTCCCTCTGGGAAACGAACAGGAGGGCTGAGAGCCTCGCCCGGTGAGAGGACCCTCTCGAGGTGAGGCGACTGCTGACATTGGCCAGGGCAGGAAAAGCAGCCTCGTGAGGGGCCTGTCTCGCCCCACCTTTCCAGAAGGCAGCTCTGGGGGGCGGGGAGCCCCTGGACGCTGGGCCCCACGGGTGCGCAGCCCCTGGGGAGAAGACGCCAAGGTGTCTTCAGGGGAACTGAACGGGACTGCAGGGGAACAGCAGAGAACCCAGGAAACTCGGTAATTCCAAACGTCAGTAAGTCGACGTGACATGAAACTATCAGGTCTCTGACCCCGGCGTACACATGAGGCCCGCAGGAGCCGAGTGCCAACAAAGTGTATTTAGAAGAGAGAAAAGCTTCAACACTAGATTTGAAGTCCAGAGTGTGGATCAAGTCCTCTTGCCTAACAATGCTCATCATCTCACCCCACTCAGGAATGAGGAGATTTCAGGTGATTTTTTTTTTCTCCCTCCTGGCACTTTTCTACACTTTACAAAATATTTACAGCGGGAGAGGCTGGGAAACTGAGGGGGAACCAAAAAATCGCTACACGTGGCTGAAGAATGAAAAAATGTGACGACGACTCTCAAGAGGAGTGAGAGCCGGCACAGAGAGCCTGAGCCTGCCCCGGGGCGACCTGAGCACCCAGCGGCGCAAGCAGAGGCAAGTCAGGGGCTTTGAGAACAGGAGAGACGCTCGGGGTCTGTGGTACCAAGGAACACCAAGCAACGGGTCTCCAGAACCGGCGGGGGAAGGGCAGCGCCCGGCCCACCCGCAGAGGGGCCCCTGGACAAGTGGCCGGCCCGGGGCAGGGGCGAGGCGGGCTCCCGGGAGCCGGGGGTCAGTCCTCGTGTCGGGAAACGGACGGTGCTCTTCGGGAACGCCGCGCGGAGAGGCGGGCGCGCTCCAGGTGCCCTCCGCCAGGCTGGGCGGCCTGCCTGCGCGGCCAGCACTGAGCGCCACCCGCCGGCTTAGCTCCGAGGGGCGGCCCACCCACCAGTGACAGACGGGCCGGAGGGTGGCCAGCACGTCACACCGGCCAGGAGCCAGATGGGAATCGGATGGATGAAAGGCAGGTGCCCGCGGCAGGACGAGTGGGGGGAGTTGAAGTGTCGCCCGCCAACCGCCTCAGCCCACCGGTTGGGGGCACAAAGTAACGTCCTCGGTGAGAGGCGGGTGTCAAGGTGCAGCCTGGCGTGACCCCGGCACCACAGCACCGCCGTGCTGAGCACAGCCGAGACGGCAGCGCTGGTAGCATCGAAAGGGAGAGCCGGGTACGAGTGACCCGCACGGCCGTCAGCGCCGGGAGCCAAAGGACCGCTGGGAAGCGCGGCAGCTGCAGGCCGCCAGGGCCACGCCACGAAGGGCGCCCCAGGAATGGACAGACAGCACAGTCTCAAGATACATTTGGGGGTGTGTGCTAGAAAGGTCTGGCATGCGAGTCAGTGGCCCAATGACAGCCTTGCCCACTCCTCCAGCAGGTGAGCACCCAGTAGGCTGAAGGCCAGACCAGACAAGAAGGGGGCGAAGCCAGGTCCACTCCCCAGGGTGCTGAGCACGGGGCTCGAGCACCCCATGGAGACTGCCTGCCCGCCCGCCCCCCCCCGCCGGCAGGGCAGACGGGCCTCTTCGGCCTCGTGGATCGTGGGGCAATTCCTGGAAACGCCCGCACCTGCGCCGATGTCCTCCACGTCTGCTCCTCCCGGGGGCCTGACCTCGGCTGCTGGCACTGAGGGTGGCTCCAGAGGCCCAGAACTTCAGCGCTGTTTCCGGACTGGTTCTGAGGCTCCTGGAACAGACTCGCTGGTCGAACTAGACTCAAGACTGTTCCCAGTGAAGAGTGTTCGGACAGTCCAAGGCGAGAGCTGTTTACGGAGCTGCAAACGACCTGCACTGGACACGCCTAACCAGCCACTTGCAACAACGAAGCAGCGCTGAGCGGCCCTGATCTGTCCGAACAGGTCAGCAACGAAGGGCGAGCGCCGTGGCTGGCTCTGAAAGTGGAGGCGGCACTCAGGGCGCGGAGCCCAGTCCCGGCGCAGCGCTGGCGGCGCCGAACCGTG